GCCAGGATGTGCAACGTAGTGAAACAGGCGGTGAGCGTGGAAACAAAGCGACGGCGGCATGAAAAGGGGCCCGCGGGCTGGCGCCGGCATCAATCAGGGGCTGCGGCGGCGAGTAAACAAAGCCAGAACCGCTAAGTAACCCCCACGCTAATTACAGCCCGCAGATGTATCAATGCAGCGAATGAGGAGCAGGCAGCCATTAATTATCTAATGAAGGCAGGCGGCCGGCGAGCCGAGCCGAGCCGAGCGGGAGGGGCTGATTAAATATTAAAGGGGAGCATATGGGGGGGGGGGGGGGGGGGGGGGGCGGGGGGGGGGGGGGGGGGGGTATAAAAAAAAAAAAGGGGGGGGGGGGGGGGGGGGGGGGGCGGGGGGGGGGGGGGGGGGGCGTAACGCAGCATTTATACACATAGAGCGCAGTGATAAGGTTTTATTCATTATAATTCATAGTGATAACTGGATCCAATTGACATCACAGCGCTTCATAGTGGCCTTTACGCTTAAGCTACACCGCAGTAACCAGAAGCATCCCATGGCTCTGCTGCTGGTATGCAAATGCAATTCGGCCGCATGTACGCCTCCATTGTGCGCTTCCGCGCTCTCGTCTTTCAAAGCGCGAGAAACATTCCGGGAACGTGTCTCCATAATCCTTCAGGTGGAACGTTAGATCGATGCTCTGTGAGCGTGTCACCCTCAGCCTGAGCAGCGGAGCCGCGACGCCCCGCTGTGCTGAGGTGGTAACAGGTGCCAGCGGCACTAGGAACAGGAGAAGATTGACGCTCCGATAGGTGGGGGGGGGCACGTCCCAGAAGCGGCACCTCATGGGCTGCTGCCGGATATCTGATCAAACCGGTTTGTTACGGCTGACCGCCCCGGGGGTGGGGGCTGGGGGGACTCTGCAGTAAAGGGGCCCAGGGACTGGATGTCCACAGGTGCTGTCAGTTCTGCTGATCTTTACTTGACTTTTAATTGATTTGATTAATTGCTTTAGTGCAGTATTTTGACTGGTCGCTCAGCAGGTGCTGAATGCTAAATAAAGTTTGTTCTTAAAAACCCACTGGGCTTCTGGAAAAGGGCGGCCGTAGCAAGCTGGGGGGGCGGAGCCTAAGCATCAGTGCCGCAGGGGGAGGCCCGGTGAGAGTTCTGGTTCTGATTCTTGAGCTTTGTGTGAGGACTGCACTGAGCGCCTCCGCCTGATCGGCGAAGGACGCCCACGGCGACGTCGCGTCATGTGATACCAGGTGGCTGATAAACAAACAGCACTGTACCACAGCCTCACTCTGGGAAATTTATGGCGGCTGCCCGCTTTCGCCTGGGAAGATGCCAGGTGCTGATCGCGATGTGTTCAGGCAGAACGCAGCAGTCCCTGCCTGTTACGCAGTACTTTCTAGCACAAGGACGGGAAGGCCTACGGTCTCCGCGAGCTGCTGGTGAGAGAAAGGCTGTGGTGTGCAACCTGCCTGACATATTCAGCCACCGGCAGCTTCAACGTGGACACTTTACACTGCAGGCATCCATCTCCTATATGGCAATGGAAGAACCCATATTATGAGACACAAAAATTATTGCAGGACAATGATTCGGATCCTGAACGTTACTGGCTCAAGTCCCCCACTGTAGTACTCTAGAGTAACAAACTAACCCTGAATTCCTTATATGCATTTTCCTTAAGTGTCCATCCCATACTAGGTTACAATCTATTCTGGGAGGCACAGGGATAGGAGTGGGCCAGTAGCAAGGAGAGGACATGCACACTCACACAACTGGGTTGGGAATCGAATCCCCAGCCCCAAAAGTATGAGGCCATCATGCCAACCCTGACTTCAAATCATTGAGGTAAAATTCAGCTCCATAAACAGGTTGAAAACTTACTTTAGGTAAAAATCCTCAGCTGAGTGACCTAAAATATTGGCAGGATTTTAGATGGAGATGTGAGGACAGGAGATAAAGGTGCTGGCGTCTGGCTTTGGGAGTCAGGGAGCTGCCCGGTTTAGCAGTAGGGTCGTGACCCTTTTCCCACCTCCTCCTCTGTCCCTCCAGCTCAAGCAGAGGAATGGGCAGAGAAATTAATGACAAATTTTAAATAATTACTCCGTCATGTGACCCCAAAAGTTCATTCATTATTGATCACCCATTTCTGTAAGGACGGCTTGTAATTATACAGCATAATGTGACTCATTCTTCACATTTAAACATTTAAATTGCTTCCCTTTCCCAGTAGCCTGATAAGCTATGTTTTTAATTACGAGAATCTGACGGAAACAGAGGTCATTTTTCTCTTTTAAAATGTATCAGTTCTGCGTGCGTTTCACCTGCAGCAATTCGTGTCTCCATCAGACGAACATCTCACACTTCAATCCCCCTGAGAAATTTAACACTTCATTTCTGATACTTCATTTTAGTTACCACAAAGACTCAAAATATACAGCTGTCAAGAATTAGACTTATGTGGCAAATTGGCAATTCCTGAATAAAATCAAAATGCTTAATGGAAAAAAAAAGCTCTTTTTACAAAACATCCTTTTTACAAGTACAATTTGTCAGTAGTATTTGGTATAACAATCCTTCAGATAAAATTATACTGAATTTTTTTACATATCAGCGTTAATTATCATCCACAACAAAATACAAGTGGATCATTTAACTCTCTGTACAATCTGCTCTAATTGTCAAAGGATACTCAAAACGCTTACCAATAAAAATTACAAGCACCCTTCTGTAAGGCATTGATGTCTATAGAGAAATAAAATAAACGTGTGGATTTTTTTTCCTGTTCTATCAGATGTTACACTTCCAAACTCATCCAGAGAGGTGCCAGCATTCTCAGAGGCATTCGCCTAGTTGCTCCAGTAATGCAGACAGCAAATCCCAGAGGGCACGACTGATCCGAGATCAGTATCAAGTTCATTGTTAACACCTTCCCATTGTTCCTCTGTGCCAGAACTTGCAGAAGCTAGAAAAGAGAGGCGAGCGAAGCAGGCGGCGGTCTGCGGCTGCATTGAAATTCCCTTCAATGAGGCAGAATCAATTTCTCCTGTGAATGTCAAAGATACAAGCTTTACGGGTACAAAACCCGCAGCTGTTAGCCTGCCCAAGAGGGGGAACTTAATTCTGTGAAATCCTCTATCTTACTGGGGGGGTGGTGGCATTCAGGTAAGTGTTAACTTTAATGTTATGAAAAAAGTTTTTGACTGTAAAACAGATTCTTTGAAAGTGGAGAAGATGAACAGCATAGGAAGTGGAGGAGGAAGTTGAGACTGATAGTATTCTAAGGCAGGGAAGGCCATTCTTTATGGAACATCAGGAGCTCCCTGGAATGGCCCGTGTCGACCTCCGAGGCTGCCTGATCGCTGGATGAAGGCAGTTCCTTCATTTCCTTGCTGGAGTTCAAGTGGGTCATGGTGCCACATTCAACAGACACTCTACTGAAACAACCACCTTTTGGTGACTGTAGACAGGACTGTGGGTCGCTCCAAAATGGCGAAATGCCCAGACCACGGCTGCCGTGAAGTGGCTCTTCACACAAGGGGGGCCATGCGTGGCTCCCTGGTTCCATGTACATTCACAGGCGTGCTGTCCTGCATGCACGTGGTCTGGGAAGGCCCGCGGTCATGGCTGATGCGTTTCCATATCGCGTACTGGGTGAGGGTGCCAAACAGACCCATGTGACACAGGAAAGGGGGGAGGGAATGGGGGCTTCATTTCAGTACTGCAGTGGAGACGAGCTTAACAAAATGGTAAGGGGTGGGGTGAGAGAATAAACAGCCACTGAGAGCTGAGCGACAAAAGAGAAATAACAGTAATGTTACACAGGCAGTCCCCAGGTTAACAAGATTGGTGTCTTTTAGTCGAATTTGTAGGTAAGATTGAAGAATAATAATAATGATAATGATACAGTTCAAAACAATTATTATACAGTAATAATAATGAATAATAAACTAAATATGGCACTGTACTGTACCGCAAGCTGACAAACTGTTGAAGTTGCACAATGTTTTCACGAGCGTCACAAAGCAGTGTGTTCGTTATTATGAACTATTGTATTTAAACTAAATTGAATCCATCTGTCCATCCATCCCTTTTCTGTGCATACTTGTCCTATTCAGGGTCGCGGGGCTTAGAGGTACCAGAAAGAACCACATAAAGTAGCTGACTATTGTTTATTTAATATCTGGGTGATTTGTTTCACTGTAAAGAACCTTTACCAGCTAAGCCTGAACATAAACACTCATTTTGTTTGCGACAACATAAATGTTTGGATCAAAACTTACACGCTAGGGTGTAATCTATGATTTAATAAATATATATTTAAACGTGTTTGCATTTCGACTTTTGTGGGGGGGGGGGGAACTACATCTGTTGGTCATCAAGATAGTCCTCAGGCAGTGTCGTTAAAAAAAAATGTTTATTTTGGCAGTGAATTCTTCACGTTGTATTACAAGCCTATATAAAGCAAACATTTGGCAAACGGGTCCTGTACAGCGACACGTGGGCTGGACGGACGTTAACAGCTTCGGCATCACGCGGCACGTCCACGCAATAAAAAGCAGGCCACCACCGTTTCCCCTTATCTTGTGAAAGTTTATTGATGGTTACTGTTCAGTGGATCATAACTGCATGCACATACAATGACAAGGAGAAATGCCTGGTCACAACACGCTGTTTTAAAGCAGAAATCGTATAGTAAAGTCACAGCAGTGGGTAGGATATTGTTCCTGTTGTGGGGGCACACGAGGGCATGTGTGACAGGACAGACTGGCGCTGCTGCCAGTTCGGCCCCTAGCCCCCTTTCTTCAGCTTTATTTTATAAATACAAAAATGAGAGCTGTGACAAACACCTCAACTTAAGTTTACTTGTAAACAGGACAACATGAACAGAATCTTTTTTAGCAGATACTCAGACAAGCTGCTGTTTTTTAAGGACATTTACAAAGACCCCCACCAACCACCCCACCCCCCACCACCACCAGCTTGTGTGTGTAGCGTATTTTACCGAATGACCATTCTTAATATTTATATGCTCATTTTTTTTTTTGTCATTAGTTATACATTTCTTGATAATCAGACTGTTTCAAAATGTAAAGGCTTTAAAAAATACAAAAAAAATATGGCATTGAAATAATATCTAAAGAAAATTAGGAAAAGCACAGTAACAAAAAGTCCAATGTAATATTCCACAAGCAAAAAAACAAAACAAAAAAACAAAAACCAAAAATAACTGCAGTTTGTGTGTGTGTGCAACACAGTAAGGTCTAAAAATACCAAGCTGACAAAAATACCATGATTATCTCTACATACATGATTGGATTACCTGTAAAATGTTTATAGAAATCTGAATATGATTATCATTTAATTCCATAAAAAATGATACACCTTACTCTAACAACTGTTCTACTAGACTAATTCTAAAACATCATACTGTTGTGTATTTTTATATAACAGAACATATCCACTGCACACTTCAAATTGTATACATAGTTGTATTTTTTTCTTTTTTTTTTAAACCTGGTACAAATAATTCTAGTTTTTTTTACTTTCCTTCTGAAAAACAAAAAGAAAAAATAGAAACAGTGGTTTTGTTATCTTTTTTTCTTTCCCATAATATAAAAGTCAGCAATAATATCAATTTATATACTGGAAGCAATATAAAAAGAATACTTTTTAAACGGCCTAAACTAGTGAGGATTTGACTAAAGAACTAGGTTGAACAGTAAAATACTGTCTTGCTGAATATCTTTAGGGGTTTCCTTAGACAGTTTCTATGCAAAAATCTGAATGTACAAGTGTAACACCCCAGGAACGTAACCTTTGGCTTTGAGTGATGAGTAAAACAATACAACTAATAAAACTGATACAGTGGTGTCTTCCTCTCGCAGCTGCACTCCCATTGGACCTACAAGCCGCCACTCAGAGCTACCCTCCTTGCCCACCAACCAATCAGATTTTCAGGCTTTTACATCCATCCCCATACCACTTCTTATCCCTCTGACCATCCGTAAACAAACAGTATATTATCAACTCAGAAACAGAGATAATGTAAAAAAAATAAAAAAAAATAAAAAAAAATTACAATAAAAATAAAAATCAACATGACCATTGTAGTCACTTACACTTATACAAAATGTGATAATTCTGAACGACTTAATATTTATTATACATAATTAATTTACATGATAAAGCACACTTGATTGTGGCCCTAACAATTGGATTTAGATTTTTCTTTTTTAATATCTAGCAGCTTTCTAGATCACCACAGAAACCTCTACAGCCAACAATCTATGTAACCTTTTAAAAATTAAGATGCACAATATTAAAATACACAGAACAAAATATCTGAGGTATAAGATGAAAAATATCTGGTTTTCCTCTCTCTTTAGAGATGCTAAAATGATGCACAACTGCATGTATTGCAATACCCAGGCCTCGGAAAGCTTGTCTTTGTGTCCCCACCGAAAGGTTTTTGTATTTTTTGTATTTTTTTTTCTCACGTTCTCGCTTAGTATGGCGCAAAACGGCTGTATCCCCCTCTGTATATACTAGCCTGTAATGAAGACAAAACGAGGCCCACGTCATCGACATGGCTCCTAGTCTTGGCGTCAGTCAGAGGTGCAAATGCATTCTGAAACAGAGTGACGCAGTGGCATGTGTTTAGTGGGCAGACGGGCAGCCTCCCCTACCCCCCCCGTCACTATTCGGCCCTGCAATGCGCACACCGTACATACCCCTGGCGATCAACCCGGGATGCGTCATGCAGCAAGCACACCAAGACATTGCATGCCTGGAGACTGTTTTACTACTTGGAAGGGTATAAGAAAAGAGTTAACGGACAAACTGGTGGATCAACACGATGATGAGGCTCCACACAGAGGTCTGGATCTTAGCGAGTATGACTGTGGATCTTAGTGACTCTAACTGTGGATCTTAGTGACTCTAACTGTGGATCTTAGTGACTCTAACTGTGGATCTTAGT